AACTCTGAACGAGTTTAGAAGAACTCTGTAAAAGAGTTGATTTGAACCGAAGATCGGTTAATAAGCCAAGGACAGAGGCTCCCTGTTGCTGAAGTTGAAGATGATCTTCGTTGGAAGATGATGCCGATCTCCTCAAAAAACCTCTCTCCAGTGGTCGATCCAAGCCCAGAAAATCCAACCGAAAAAGGAGGGCTTGAACTGAATTGATCTTCAGTTATTTATAGAGGATTAAGGGGGTGAAACCGCCCCTTAAATCTCTCCTAAGTGGGGTGTAACCGCCCTCAAATCGTGTGAAACGGTTTTAGAACCGTTCAACTCATGTTGAATGAGTCAAACGCCAACGTTGGCGTTCAGGACCCTAACCTCGCGTCTTTGAATTGAGACGCGAGGTTGGGTGTTGGCTGAACACCAATGAACGCGAGGGTCACTCGCGTTTTGGCTTGTTGTAACGCGGGTTCGATCCTGGCGTTTTGATGTTGTAACGCGGGTTTCGACCCTGGCGTTTTGATGTTGTAACGCGGGGTTCGACCCTGGCGTTTTGATATTGTAACGCGGGTTTCGACCCTGGCGTTTTGATGTTGTGACGCGGGTTTCGACCCTGGCGTTTTATTGTTGACACACGGGGAGGATCACCACGTCTTGGTGTTGATATACGGGGAGGATCACCGCGTCTTGGTGTTGATATACGGGGAGGACCTCCGCGTCTTGCCTTGAAGAGATTATCAACAAGTAATCTCTTTTGTCATAGCGTTGCAAAGATCATTGTCTTGTAATCTTCATCTTGGCTCCTTGAGAATATGAGAGTCGTCAGATTGTAACTCCCCAATATCTTCTTTGCCTCTCCAAGATCCTTCATCTCAAACTCGGATGATAACTCCTTTTTCAGCTTTCGAATAGCTGAAGAATTCCTGGAAGCAATAAGCATATCATCAACATATAAAAGCAAATATATGAGCTCACCATCCTGTAGCTTGTGCATATAAACACATGGGTCATATGGGCTCCTCGTTTACCCTCGGCCAATCATAAAGCCGTCGAATCTCTTATACCACTGTCTTGGTGACTGCTTCAAACCATAAAGAGACTTCTTCAGCTTACAAACCAAATCTTTCTTTCCTGCAGCTTTAAAACCCCGTGGTTGTGTCATGTAGATCTCCTCATCTAAATCACCATGTAGAAAGGCTGTCTTCACATCCATCTGGACCAAGTCCAAATCCAACTATGCCACCAACGCCAATAAAATTCTAATCGACGAATGCTTCACAACGGGTGAAAATACCTCGTTGTAATCAATGCCCTCAAGCTGTGCATATCCCTTGGCAACTAATCTGGCTTTGAACCGAATGTCCCCAATAGAAGATCCCTCCTTCTTCGCATATACCCACTTGCAACCAATAGCTTTCTTACCCTTAGGTAGATGTGCAAGTGTCCAAGTGTCGTTCTTCTGAAGAGACCGCATCTCCTCCTCCATAGCTTCCCTCCACCTGATCGAATCGGGGCTAGACTCTGCCTCCCTGAATGTGGCTGGAACCATATCATCAACGACCTCCACTGATAATGCATATGCGACCATGACATCATTATACCTAGCTGGCCGACGAATCTCTCTCCTCGGTCTATCTGCTGCAATGGTCCTCTGAACATGACCCTGTTCCTGAGTCCCATGATCCACTGTATCTTCTATCTGCCCAACTATCACCTCATCTCCTCCTAGTGTCACCTCTGTAGGAGCCTCAATGGATACAGTGTTCTCTGGAGTGGATGGAGTCACATCAACCTCCACCAGCTGTGATATCTCTCCTGTTTGGTCTCCCTCCACCTGCTGAGGGGCTCGAGGCCTCATCATGTACGCCTCGTCAAATGTGACATCTCTGCTAATAACTATCTTCTTGTCCTGTGGATCCCATAATTTGAAGCCTTTGACTCCATCTCTAAATCCCACAAAGACTGCTTTCCTCGCTCTCGGATTTAATTTACCATCACTGACATGATAATAAGCTGGACACCCGAATATCCGAAGCGACTCATAGTCACTAGCCTCCGAACCAAACCAACGCTCCAAAGGAGTCTTCCCGTCTATCGCAGTGCACGGCAACCTGTTCACAAGATGGCTCGCATAAACCAACGCCTCGGCCCAAAAAGATCTAGGCAATCCACTCTGCGTCATCATACACCGCACCTTCTCCAGCAAGGTACGGTTCAATCTCTCAGCCACCCCGTTCTGTTGCGGTGTCTCTCGAACTGTGAAGTGTCTTCTAATGCCGTGATCCCGGCAAAACTGCAGAAACGGATCACTCTTGTACTCTCCACCGTTATCTGAACGTAGAGTCTTCACCTTTCTACCTGTCTGCAGCTCCACTTTCTTTTTCCACTCCACAAAAATATCCAGGACCTGATGTTTATGCTTCATCGGGTATACCCAATTCCTCCTGGAATAATCATCAATGAAAGTGACAAAATAGTTGGCCCCACCAAGAGATGTGTTCTTGGAAGGACCCCAAACGTCCGTGTGAATATAATCCAATGTACCTTGGGTGTTATGAACAGCGGTGCCGAACTTCACTCTAGTCTTCTTCCCAAGTACACAATGCTCACACAATTCCATCTTGCAGGTCTTAGCACCTTTCAATAGCCCCTGTTTAGCCAATGACTGTAGGGACTTATCTCCTGTGTGTCCAAGTCTCATGTGCCATAAGGTGGTAGTGTCCTCCTCTGTAGTGATAGAAGCTGCCAGACCCCCTGTAACTGTCTTGCCCTTCAAGTAGTATAGGTAGTTTTCCCTGACACCTCGCATCACCACCATAGAACCCTTCGTGACCTTCACTGTAGCATCCTCTAAGATCACTCGATATCCTGCTGCCTCCAAAGTCCCAAGAGAAATGATGTTCTTCGTCAACTGCGGCACGAACCTCACTTCCTTCAATTCCCTCACTACACCATCATGCATCCTGATCCGGACTGAACCAATACCACCAATAGGGCATACGTGATCATTACCCATAAGCACGACATCCCCTCTTTCCAGCTCCTCAAAGCTAGAAAACCACTCCCTCTTAGGGCAGATGTGATATGTAGCTCCCGAATCCATCATCCACTCCGTGGAATCCGCATAGCAAACCGACGGTAAAGCAGGGCATGAATAGCCTGAAGAATCTGAATCTGAATGCTCACCAATAGCTTTTGCAACATTCACTTCTGAAGCTTGTGCAGCTTTCCCCTTATTCTTTCCGGCTTTTTCTTTCCACTTTGGGCAGTCAATCTTCCAATGTCCTTCTTCTTTACAATACCGACATTGATTTCTACCAACACTCTTATAGGCACTCCTATTCTTTGACTTTGAGCGGTTGAACTGACGACGGTTTGGATCTCGGCCTCGAACTGCTAACGCATCTCCCGATGCCTTCTCGGAGGGTTCACCATCACTCTTCCTCAACTCATAGTTCACCAAAGCTGAGGTCACCTCCTTGTAGCTAACTGTAGTTCTTCCATTGATCATAGTGAGAACGAACGTACCATAATCATCTTCGGGCAACGAACACAGAAGTAGCATCGCCTTGTCTTCATCCTCAACTATAATATCAACATTGGCCATATCTGAAAGTAGCTTAGTGAAATTGTTGACATGCTCCCTGATGGAAACCCCTCTCTTCATCTTGAACTGGTAAAATCTCTTCTTCAAGTGAAGCCGATTCTCAATGCTCTTCGTAAGATATTTCTCATTGAGTGTTTCCCACATCTTCTTCGCCGACGTCTCGTTCATAACATCATAAATAAGATCCGGCGTCAAGCATGACCTAATAACACCACAAGCTCTACTGTTCATCTTTCTCCAAACCTTATCCTCCAACTCAGCGGGTTTCTCTTTTAACTCAAGAGTCTCCTCCAAATTCTGTGCATCCAAAGCATCCATCACCTGACACCTCCACAATCCAAAATTGATCTTGCCATCGAACTTCGGAACATCAATCTTCGTGTTATTGATGCTCAGACTCTGTATCGCCTTTGTTAGAGACGAACCTGACGTGCTTGCATCTCCCATGTTGTCGATCTAGCTCTGATACCAATTGTTGTGCGCGGCGGAAGCTTTCTAGGGCAACACGAACAATAACTCGAACTAAACCACAAACAATATGCAAACCACAATCACAGTAAGAACACACAATTTACGTGGTTCGGCAAGTTGCCTACGTCCACGGGGCAAGGAAGGGGGAGTTCTTTCTACTAGAAATCAAGAGAATACAAATAGGGTTACAAATCTCTCAGACCAAACCCTAAAACAAAGCTCTAAATCTCTCAAAGCTCTCTTACAATTGGATGCAATGATTCTCTCCCTTTGGCTGCTCAAATTCGTCCCTGAGGTTACCCTAACAAATCAGGTTTAGGGTATTTATAGATTACAAAACGAAACGGGTCAAAAAACTGGAAAAACTGATATCCGCTTCGTCGGTCGACCGGCCCGGTCGACCGCGATCAATTCCGGTCGACCGACCTCCTTCCAGACGCACAGGAAACCTTGTGCACGAATGCGGTCGACCGGACCGGTCGACCTCCGCCTGGTTTGACTGATTCTTCTGAGTTTCTGTAATTTCTTCAGCCCAGTCGTCGATGACTACAAATCTTATCAGAACAATCCCTACGGAAGCGGGATGGTTTGAACCATAAATTGAATAGTTAGGATTCTCAAACTAAACTCCCTATTCGACGCAAAATTAAGCAATCCGTCGTATGCGGGTGTTCTGATAGAACCTGTACTCCTTATTCCCGGTACTGCAAATACATTTGTTGAGTTTGCTGCCGATTTGATGCGATGATTGACAAAGACCGTTGCTTGTGTTTGATTGATCAAGACTTGGTTTGTGACATGTTCATACGTCCCTTTGAAAATTTGCACATCCAGATTATATCTGGGAGGGATGTAGAATTTGTTTGCAATTGCACCCAGAATTGACATTTTGTTTTCATTAAGAAGAAAAAAAGCGGAAGGAAAATAACATCGATCAGGCGCAAAATTATTGATATTGGAACCAAAATGAGGCATCCATCCTTCCTCAATACCGAAAAAAAAAAAAAAAAGAGACACTAATTTCGTCTCCTGACATTAAAATAACAGTAATAAGCTCATCACATATAGTCGATATTTAATCTTTTGCTCAAGTTTAAGATACTCACCTAAATCCTAATAGATCTAAAGACCAAGTGTGGAGATTTAAAGCTCACCAATGGCCCCATCATAAGATGGGAAAATAAGCTGATATACTTGATGACAAATCTCAGGAAGGTGATTCTTGTAGCCCTGGAGTAGATCGTGATGAGCCGATGCGATAAGCCCAAGAACCAATGACAAGGCCAGAACAAACAGGAAAACTTTCGAAGATCCGTGGAGCAGCACAGAATCCATTGTCTTCTCCTTGCCTGTTGATTTTATTTCTAAATCCTTCTTCGCGACTTCCTGTTCGTGCTCCCGTTGATCCCTGCCTGCCGCCTCTTTCGCAACCTCAAACTTGAGTTTCATCTCGTTCTCGATTGATGCTGACCCTTTCTCTTCTTCAATCATCTCGTTGTCCGAGATTGCCTCTGTACATGACCCAGTTTCTTCTTCTTCTACTACAATTTTTCCTTCTTCAACATGAGCAATATCAGACTCCTCCAGGTCTTGGTTACTTTTGTCTTGCAGGGAATTGTAAGCTGTTTCACTACTTGAGCATTCATGCACGATATTTTCATGATTAATAATAGGCACCGACGAGCTGTCCCCGACGTCCATGACCATCTCAGTCTTATTGCAGGTATTTTGACCCTCCTCAGTTTCTGTATCTGAATTCATGCGCATGTTCTCCTGAAAATAAGTACGGAAAAAAATACATTACTATGTTTAGGTGAAGTTTTAAAAAAAATTCAACAAGTTACCTTGGTTTCCAATGAATCATTGTAAGAAATCACCTCGTTCCTGAAAAACAAGGGAAATTCTTTTGATTAGTTTTCTGAATAGATAATCCAGAACATTAGACTATTTCTCGCTTACTTGTCGCTAGAAGGAAGAAATGCATGTTTTCCTCCAGCTGTTGTTCTCTCATCTTTTTCGACAGATTCTTCCGATGAGCCTTGCTGTTTGTTGTCTCCTACTTTTTCCTCTTCACCCTCTTTATCTTCTGATATCTCTACTTCGTTATCCGCAACCTTCAAATCCTCAAAATTTCCACTAATCTCGCCACTGGACTTGTTTGTAACCTCAGTTTGGTGGTCCATCTCGGTAACTGATATCGGGCAATCCATCTTCTCTTGTGCAGTTACGCCTTCCGGATAAACTGATTGCTCGCCAAATTCCTCGCGAGAATTTCTGGAGTCTGCTAACTCCTCCTGTACTTCCTCTTGTCTACTAATAGATGAGTTATTTTCTTCCTCTTCTTCTCTTACGAGGGTAACATCTGATTCCTGAACAAAACCGCCATCATCATTTATATTAGCTTCTGATAGGTTCTCTGTTGCCTCCACAATCATCTCAGGATTCTCAAAACCACCGCAGGCGTATCCCTGCGATAGATACATAAAAATATAACCCCACGAACATGAGGACCGATAATTCGATCCTTCTTTTAAAAGTTACCAGCATTACCTCTGAAGTAGCAAGAGGTACATCTTCATTCCTGTCATAAATAAAAGAAAATGCAAACACATTAAGTAGCATGATCACAAGCAGATAAGATAACAAACTAACATTATTTTGGTATACATATATATATAATTACTCTTACTCGGAACCATCTGCAGAAGAAAGCAACTCTTGAAGCATGCCCGATTTATCTTCGCCCTCAGAGCCAAATGTAACTTCTATCTCCTTGGAGGCCTCTACTCCTTTTTCCGTCTCATTTGTCTCGGTTGATTGTGCCTGCTCTGTGTTCTCTTGCTCAATAGAAATTTCTGAAGTTTCTACAATTTCTATATTTTCCTCTATTTTTCCTCCCTCCTGCCCTTCTCTAGTCTCAGTTTTGTCTTCTTCGGCGACACGGGCAGCCTCCAATTCACCCAAATTTTGCTCAGTGTTGATTTCAGGTGTGCTTGTTTTGTCACCCCAAAATGAAAATTCCTCAACTTTAACATCATCATCAATTAATTCCACATTATCAGTATCTAACTTATCCACCTCTCTCGTTTCCTTAGCCATCTCAGATTCATCACATGCAACCTCCTGAGAGAGAAACAAATGATAGTTTAAAAAAAATAAAAAGTATAAAATTTTTATAAACATTTGCTACTCTTAGGTCACTCGTACCTGAATTTGATCAGAACCATGAAAAGAAAACTCTTCTTCTCTGCAAACAAAAAAAATCCATTGATATAACTGCTTCTTCCAATGTCAAGATATCAAAAAGTAGAATACTTACCTTAGATTCATTTCTTCAACCTTATTCTCGAAATTTTCTGACATTTCTGATATCTGATTTAATTCATGATTTACCTCCAAAAACTCTTTTTGTTCATCAATTACCTCTGCTGGCCATACTGCTTCTGCATTAGATTCCGTCGAGGAATCCCCTGTTGCTTCTGATCCCTCCTCTCCTTTCTCGCTCTCTTCGTCGATCTCAGATTTCTCGCTATTACTCTCCTGATTAATTCAACAACATAATAAAAATATGTTAACCGAAAAAAAAAATTTATCACTGGTAACTGTTACAATTGATCAAGAACTGAGATTTGGTTTCCTTCTGATTACTTAATTACCTGACTTCCCACCAAACTATCATCTGAAAAGTCCTCTCCTTTCCTTAAAAAAAAAAATCAATTCCCTTCAAAATTCAGATACTCCAAAACCCAAAAAATAAAAATTATAATGAAATGAAAAATATTGTACATGCTCAGAAGGCTCCGAAGACCCATCTTCTCCTCTTCATTGACTGTGTCATTCTTTCTTCCTCTCCCTCTATTGCTACCTCTAGCTCTGTGAGCTACGAAGGCCGCTCCGACCGCCGCCGCAACAAGCGCCCCACCGATCAAGACGATTCCGGCGACGCCGCTGGCCTCGACCTTCACCTTCTCCTCCCTCTTGCTCTTCATGACTTGCCCGTGATCAGATTGAGTAGCCATTGAGTTTTTTTTCTTGATGGGGAGCCTTCAAAGTTCTTTAGCAAGTGTCAACTAACTTTTAGGAAATGCGATGAATATATATATTTTGTCCTTAGTGGTGCGGAATCAGTTTTGAGATCTCCGCTGAAGGAGGAGGAACCTGGGCCGTTGGATTTCAATGAGTGGGTCCCGGTGAGAGGTTTCTGACCCATTCTAGATTTAGCACGCGGTGAAATTTTGATGGAGGATTCAGTGAGATTTTGCTGGAGAGTAGAGGGTTAATTTGAGAAAGTCAACTGTCATATTTATAGCGTATATAGACCACCCCACTCTTATAGGAATAGTATTTGTATTCGTGAATCTGATCTCTGTAGGGGGGAAAAATCCTATAGAGCTGGAGGAGAGCTTAATGTACAGCTTAGAAAAGTGAATTAAGTGGATAGACTATAGTCACTATACCCCTCACACGATTGGCATGGATGTCGAAAATTTAAGTAGAGGGGAATTGTAGATAATTTTTATCGATGTCAGACGTTTATGAAGAGAATACAGGAAAATTGACAGAAGACAGCTTTTGACTTCCAGCGGTTGACCGCGAGTGGCGTGGCGGTCGACCGCAAACATGCACGCAAGCTAGAAAAGTCTCTGGACTTTTCGCGGTCGCCCGCCGCGCCACTCGCGGTCGACCAGCCAAACCCTGTAGTGATATTGAGTTTCTGTCGTTGGATCCGGTCGACCGCGCGTGGTTCTGCGGTCGACCGCGAGTCGGGCTGGGCCTGAACTTTGGTTTCCTGTTCGCATTGGGTTTGTGTTTTGATATATAATCAAACACGTTTTTTCTACGTTTTCAATAAGAGATTTTAGACTGTACTGAGCATATTGAGAGGGAAAAGCAGGTTGAGAGATTTGGTTTAGGGTTTGTGAGAGTGGTTTTGTGAGATTGTAACCCTTTGTACTCTCCTTGATTTAGTGGAATCTCCTCATCCTCTCCCCGTGGACGTAGGCAAATTGCCGAACTACGTATATCTTTGTGTTTGGTTTGATTTGTCGTATTTGGATTGAATTGTGCTATTGCGTGGTTGGTTCTCTTCTCCCGTGATCACAAATTCGTTCGGTGTGCGAGCACGCTTCTGCATAGGCGAGCAATAGTTTACCGATCGATGAAAAACAGTTGATTTCTTCCTCTACAAATCGACTAGATCATGGTCAACAACGTGCAACATTCTTCTTGATCAATAGGCGGAATGTTCGATATCGTCTTCTCTCTGTCTCAAATTATGTTCGAGGACCTATAAGCAATTTTTGACGCCTACAGATACTCCCTCCAAAGTGTTTATGTCTCACTTCTTTTATAGAAAAACCTGAAATGCTTTGGATGTGATAGGCCCAACCTTCAGTCGGTGTAAAAGGGCATGTAATTGGCTTCAGTTCTTGACTTCTTTAGTTTTCAACCTACTAAGTATTTTGTAGAATAGATGAAGTTTTTTCGGTGTTGCATTTATCGTCTGATCATTGTTGAAGTCTTGAACTGAAATTAGTGTGTAAGTTCCTGAACTTAGCTCGTGCCATTGAGTTGACTTTGAACCGATCATCTTTTAACACAGTGAAACCTCTTTCCTCATAGCTTTTTTTTCACCTTCTAAGCTTTCTCTTCACTATAATTAGAGGTAACACTAGTCCTCCCCTTCTTTGTCCTAAAATTTACTTCTCTATAGTCGACTCAATATTCTTGCAAAAGTTCAAGCATAATTATTATCCTTATATCATTGTGAAAATAATCTTTTGGTATTTTCCTCATGAATAAGATGGTGTTAATAGCATCATGTGAGGTTTCATGACTTTTTTCGTCACTGGCGGTAAAGTTCTAAGTCTATTACATATTTGGCTTATAAAAAAATGTCAAACTATCACCTAAGCTAAAAAATACCAAAGAGAAGTGTACAAGCATACTAATCTAATAATTTATCTGCAAAGAAAAAGGGGAAAGGGGGCTCCAAATCTTTACCTTAAATCAAGAAACATGTTTGGGCTGGGAAAGTATAATATCATTTTTTTTTTCTTTGGCATATATTATATTCAGAAATTACTAAGTGTAAACTACTTTTAAAAAGATGACACATGTCTCAATTATTTTAAGCATTATAACACTAACCCAATCTGAATCTCATGAATGCTGGCTCCCCTCCTTAATGCACCTTGGGATCAGAGAAGAAAAGCATCCTCACTCAGACTCTCTCAAATGACCGAGACAAAAGGCATCCTGACTTGAACTCTCTTGGGAGACCTAGACGAAAGGCATCTCGACTCGGACTCAGCGACACATCTTGAATCATGGGAGAATCTCTCTGTTTCATCTTCCCTAGCAACGTCATCTAGTCACCGTCATATTAATTGCATGGTTAGAGCCATCATTACTTCCCTATCGAAGTCATAATGAGTCCTCAGATCACCCCAGCACTTTAGTCATTCTATCGTTGTTGCATTAAATTCAAGGATGATTCGGACCACTAGCTACCGATGCGTGTAAAGTGTCGACTGACCAAGCCGACTGCATGGACCCGGTCAAAACTACTCAAATACCCTTTTCGGCTCGCTATAAATATGCAAATTATCTTCTATATTCAGGTATGCTGTGCAGGGTCTCGAAAAAAAAGACAAGACGACTGATTCTTTGTAAAAATGATTCTATCGCTTGGTAAGAATCTTTTTACTGTCGTTCTTTTTCAAGTACAGAAGAGGAGAAGATTGATTCGATTTCTCCTTTGTTTAACGTGTGTTCGATGTGGCGATGAGATGTCTCGTTTGATGCTCGTGTTGAGCTTACTTCTCGTTGACGATCGGAACAAGATTGCTTCAACTCGAGGAGGAATAGCCTCTTTTGAGTGCTTGAGCTACTTGCGGCTGCTATTAGCTTTTGACGTACGTGCGTCTAATCTTTTGGGCCTCAAAACTCGATGACTAGGGTCTCCAAAAGTGATTGTCTTCATAGCTGTTCACAGCTATTTATAGGCACTCAGTACATAACTGACTCTGAGATCATGGGATCAAAGCGTAACTAACTCCTTAGATTTAGCCTACATGGGCTGACTGGGTCTTCATGGCCGTTAGCCTCCTGGCGTCGAGCCTCATTTGATGCGCTACGTTCGTCTGATGAGACGAGTCTCAATGTGTAGTGAGGTTCATCTGACAAGACGAGTCTTGTTGAGTGGTGAGCCTCGTCTGATAGAGCGAGTCTTGCTGCGTGGTGAGTCTCGTTTGATAGAGCGAGTCTTGCTGTGTGGCGAGCCTCATTCTTGAATGAATTTCGTCTTCTGAAGGAGTTTCATCTTCAATAACGAGCTTCGTCTCCTGAAGGATAAAGCATTGAGAGCATCGTCTCTAGGCGAACTTCGTCTCCAATGACGAACTTTGTCTTCTGAGGGGTGAGGCGTTGCTAGTCTCATCTTGGCTAAGACGACCATCATTGACCGAGACGATGTTCGTCATTATATTAGTATACACTCTCTTATATATGTATAATATATGTGTATATATATATACTAATATATACTCTCTCTTAGTATATATGTATATATAAGTATACGCTCTCTTATATATGTATACTCCCTATTATATAAGTATACTCTTTTATATATGTGTGTGTGTATACTCTCTCTCTTAGTATATAAGTATAGTATATTATAACGGTTACTTCCCCATTGGCCCAACGAGCAACGGCTACAGGGTTACTTATGCGATTCTCTCTCTCTCATAAATTATAACTTATAAATATATACAATATATTTACATATAATATATGTATATATAATATATAGTTACATAATAATTTAGAAGTATATACTAATACATAATTATATAAAATATAATAATATTAAACTAATTTTTAGCATTTTTTTATCAAAAAAAAAGAAAATAAATTTAAAAAAACCTAGGTGGGATGTACTTATCTATTGTGATGCGATGAATTCCAAAATAAATTTATACTTATAATTTGTAAATGATTTATTAATTATTAATAAAGAATTTATTTTTATAATTTTTTATTTGTAATTTATGTTATTTTAAGTGATTAATAAAATTATTATTTTACTATTATTTTTTTGTCTTTTTTTATAATTTAAAACTTAAATAAAATTGGAAAAATTGGAAAAAAAATTTTAAAAAAAAAGAAAAAACCCGGGCCGGCCCGGAACCCGGCCCGGTCGGGCCTGGGCCGGACCCGGCCCGGGGTACCCGGGTCCGGGTCCGGGCTCCGGTTTTGCCCGGCCCGGATGGACAGGCCTATTCGTCATTATGACGACCCTCGTCATGCTTGTAGTGAGCTTCTACACTCCTTTGTCCCTTGGGATTTTTTAGTGCCTACATGCTCTTCTCTAAAACTAAAAACCCAAAAAACTATTTCTTTCGTATATTTCTCTCCCTTAAGATCATCACTAACCTGATCGTCAGAGGAACCACCAGAAAACCGAATTCCGACCCTCTAACATTCTGTATGTGCAGAAAATTGTCTTTTACTCAGAGCAATCAGCCATCGAAGATGATTAAGGGACCCTAAGCTCTCCTTGTTAGATCTAAATAAAACTTGAGATCTAAATCATAAAACCATGATTAATTCGAAGAGATTAACAATAATCAAAAGGAGCGAGCGGAAGCTTATACCTGAATCCATCGAGGAAAACCTGATTAGGGTTTTGATGATCTTCTAACCTTAGGGTTTCTCTAGCCAAATTTCTCTCTAGATGGGGGTGAAGAGAATTAGAGAATGTAACCCTAGATTAGGGATCATAACCCCTTATTTTGGGGGTGAAGAGAATTAGAGAATGTAACCCTAGATTAGGGATCATAACCCCTTATTTATAGATGTTGTATATTTACAATTTGGCCCCTCATCAAATCATAATTACAACCTGGTATCTGCACATATAACCACATGATTTATTTAAATACTTATTAACCCAAATTAATTGATCACTTTAGTGGGTTATCTTGAAGGATATTAATACACACAGATTAATCATATGTGCCCACAAATAGATTTAATTAGATTTAAATCCAACACTCCTAAATCCACTTTAATCCTCTCAGTTAAGTTTCTGACATAAACAACAAATTTACCAAGAGCTACAGTCATAGTGATCCCCCCTACTCAGCTACTTCAACCATTTCCAGAAGCCTGACAAGTCTATTTCTTTTCTTAAAATTATTTTCCAAGAAACTAAACCAAACAGTTGGGAGAAATGGTATTTGACATTACTAACATTGGATAGTAATGTAAATTTAACCATCGATGGTTAATTTGTGACGAAGAGAGGGGTAGAAATGACAAAAACTTCCTAGAATAAAGTTTCTTTTTGGCTAATTGCACCCAGACCCCTTGTAGTTGTAGTGCATTTTGAACTTATTGTCCCTGTCGTTTATTTTTGACACATGGACCTCGCCCGGGAGTAATACCTGTCAAACTTTCATCCACATTAAAAAAAAAACAAAAAACAAACAAACTCTAGAATTCAAATATACTACATGAGGTTTGTGAAATATACAATCCTTTTAACTATACGTAGAAGTAGATAACTGATTCGATACGCACAAATCTGAGCAGAGGTAAGTTTGTACGGTTTCGGTTGAAATCTTAGTTTTCCCTACTTGATCACGTTTGATCACGTCCTTCTTCATAAAAAAAAAAAAAATACAATTTAAATTGTAGTAGGTTGTGCACGAGAAATTATTGTAAGCGTTTAGTCTTAATAGTACTTTCAATTTCGTTTGATGGTCAACGGGTAACCTGTGGCATGGCTTGTTTCATAATTTTTTATATAAGCACCTTGCATGTGTTTTTATGAGGAAAGATGTCATAGGGACCCAAAAACATGGGACATGTGAGGTGTCGGTTCCATGTCTCATGATTCACTGTTCATGAACCTTAGGATCCCATGATGCACTGTTCATGAACATCATGGGACATGGAGCCAACCTTAGGGTCCCATGATGCACTGTTCATAAACAGTGCATCATGGGACAGGGAGCCGACACCTCACATGTCTCATATAGGATCTCATGTTTTTTGGTCCCTGTAGCACCACCCATGTTCTGATAAGATTTTTATTGCGATCTCATCTCTCATAGTCGGTGACAAACTTGACCTTCAGTTCAGCAGATACTGTATTTACATTCTCTAGAGATCTCTGTAGGCGTTAAAAAATGCTGAAAGATATCCAAATACAGCTCAAGGGAAAATCATCCAAAAAGGCAAAAGAACACAAGTATAGACTGTCTCACAGGCGAGACAGTCTTTACTGTCTCGCCTGGCGAGACAGTCTTTACTGTCTCGCCTGGCGAGACAGATTTTTACATGTTCTCGCCCCCCCGAGACAGCAAAAATTTACTGTCTCGCCGCGCTGCGTGAGACAGTGTTACTGTCTCGCCGTGCCGAGACAGAATTTACATGTCTCGCACATGAGACAGTTATCAGTGGCTCAGAGAAACTGTTTTGCAACCGTCGAACACGTGGCCACCAACTGTTCAGGAACGTCGGGAAACGTCCCGGTGGGGCGAGAATCAACGTGAATAACTGCCAGAATAACGGAGTCTTTGAACGTGGCGGAAGCAGTTTACAATCGAAAACTGCCAGAATGTGACAGTATTTTCTGTCTCGCTGGGCGAGACAGCAAATTTACTGATCTCGCTGGCGAGACAGCAAACACTCCCCCCCCCCCCGAGACAGCAAATGCTGCCTCGCGAGCACTGTTCATCCAGAGGGTTATAAATACCCCCCGAAGGCCATTTTCACAGGGGCGGCCAGCAGAGATCCAAGGCTGATCATTGTTTTAAGCACTTCAGAGCAATCCAGAGCACAGAGAGAGCAGAGGTGCTGATCTTACGGCCAATCCTTGATAATCAGGCTTTGACTTGATTTCAAGAAGAACGACTATCTTACATCGATAAGATATCGTTTCAATTTCTCACTTCGATAAACGAAGTCAGAATCATAAACCCCTCACGGTTCAATCAGAATCTGTGATTTGGTGGTCCACGAGTCAAAGCGCTCCCGGCACAGGCAAAGATCCCACGAAAGCAGTGATCCAAACAACGATCCTGCGTTTATTTTCTCAAGAGTTGTAATTTTCTTTTTTGTTGTGTAAAAGAGTCTTATAAAAAGGCTGTTTTCTTTGAATTTATTGTAATCGACCGAAGATATAATGAATTCGACAACAAAACCAACTTTTGGCGAAAACAATCTCCATCTATAGGTTCTTGGTTGCTGTTGACAATAAAGATAAAACCCATCGGGGGTACCTCGCGTTGGAATTTCCTTTCATTTTCATCGGTGTTTGATAAAATATGGGTAATTTCGCAAGACCCCACGAAGTTTTGCTAATTCTAAAATAACCCTGAAAAATATGGAAATCCACCCGACTTCCAAAAACCTTCCAAATAACCCAAACAAATGAGGGTCGCCCAGAAATGGATTCAGAGGCTGAGTGAGAGTTTCCAAACTTTTTGGGTTTATCTCGAAAGGGCCAAACTTCTGGGGAAATTGTGAATATTTATCTAGGAAACATTGGATACGCGGAGTGATGTATCCTATCACATCCAACTTGAATAGCAATTATTGATAATGGAAACATGATATGTTCTCCAAAGCTATCAGAACCTTCATTTTACTTCTCCATCAGGCTGAGCAGCATTTTCTGCGGCATCTTTATCAACTTTTTTATCCTGAAGGAATCCTCACGCAAAGCCACAGCTACTGAAAAGAAAAGGAAAACACATTTGTGAGCAGCAAGCTTCTTTACTTATTTATTACAAAGGATACAAAATTTACATTTGAGTCGCAGCTTAAAAAGGCAATATAAGATTCTGATGCTGGATACTAAATATTGGGCAGCACATCACATAATAAGTTGCTAGAAGCCCACATTTACAACAACAACAGTAGAGCCAAACAGTAAGTTCTCATTTTATCCAAAACCAACACAGCTTCACACAAGTACTCAGAAACCAAACTTTGGCTTAATAAAGTCTCGAGGTAACTGGTTTATCGAGACAACGAAGCCTGCAGCCTCGTGCCTGAAGCATTTGTAGCAATCCGGGGGGCAGTAAGTTCTTCATCGCTGTAACCAATTTCAGTTTCTTCAGCCGACCACATGACGCCCTCAATGCGAGCTCAAACCCCTCCACTGATATCCTGGTCAAATGCACCAGCTTCGCATCTTGAAGACATCTCAGATTTCCGAGTAGTTTCCATAGACCAATGAAAGTTATCGGGCAGTACGATATATTAATCTACAATAACAAAACCTTAATTAGATTTCACGAGCCAGCACAACTAAACATTGCGTAAATTACAGGAAAATCCCCCAAGGTTTACGGGATCAATAAAATACGTTCCTAGACCGACAGTTTGACCTGTCAGTTTCTACAATATTAACTTGGGAGGGAAAGTTATGATCATAGGATATGACAACTACATTGAAAGTAGATGGTTATTTGGAGCATCAACCCCAGATTATTTGGAACTTATTACCCCTCCAGTGTTATTGTTGTTTGTAGATAGTAAGCGAACTTTTTCTTCTTCTTCTTTTTTTTGTTCCGACTTCGCCCTCAAAGAAATAGACATTTTATTTTTTTGAAAAATAGAACCCCAAGGGTTAAGACAGCTGCCGGGAGAGGGGGGTGGGGGGTTCTATCTGCATCAACAAAAGTAGAGGGGTAGTGTGAACGATACTACAGGGGGTATATCCTCAATTGACCCTTTTTGGATAGAATAGAAAATGAGGTGTAATACTGTCACTTTTAAACCATTAGGAGAATTTCTTTTCATTCCTACAAACCATGGGGAATCAGTTATTCCGCAGATTCAGAATGATTTTTACCTGTCTGAGGTTTGGAGAATACTGTGCAAGAGCAGACATTGCCATATCATCAACAGAGTAGCATTTCTTCACATCTAGTTCAGTTAAGCTAATGCAACCCATGGCAATTGCAGTAATTCCCAAACTAGTAACTTTATATAGCGACCTCATCTCGAGATCCTGGAGCTCTTTTAAAGAACTCAGATGCTTCAACCCTTTGTCAGTGATCTCATTGCAGTAGCAAATGTTTAATTTCTTCAGCTTCTTGCAGCTGATGGCTAATGAGGCCAAGCCATCATCGTTGATCCTACTGCAGCTGTTATTTGTTTCACAAGTATTAGAACAATGTTGTGATTTTGAAATGAAAGATATGATAAATACTTTTTGAAAATTTTACCGATAGAGATCAAGTTCTCGGAGATTTCTGCAATTAGAGCTAACATGCGCTAGTCCCTCATTGCTGATGCCCGAGCAGAGCCCCAATTTTAATACCATAAGCTTGGAGCATCTAGATAAAAACTTCAATGCTGCAAGAAAATGGACAAAACTTCAGAAATCATACATAAAGGTGGAAATTGGCATACTTTAGAAAGAGTGAATTGCAGATAGACCCTCTTTACTATCGTCAAATGGGAAAGGGCCGTACACCCCCCCCCCCCCCATCCCCACCCAAAAAAAACAAAAGTTCTGAATTGTTGCAGATAGACCCCCTGGAGCTGAAATTTGTTTTACCCTTTCATGCGTGTCATTGCCATATATTGGAACTCTTTCAGGCGTGTTTTATCTGCATAAATAGAACTGCAGGGGTAGTTAGTTCAATGCGGCTGATATACAAGGGTTTAGCCAAATTAACCCATATGGGGCGGGGGGGGGGCTCATAAATTTTTACCTGCATCATTCATGTTACAATCAGTGAGATCAAGCTCTTTGAGATTGCTACAACGAGTACCGATGCAATCCATGCCCTTCTCGGTCAGTAAAGTGCAGGACTCTAATCGAAGGCATTCAAGGTTCTTACAGTGGCTGGCTATTGCAGACATAGCTTTGTCCATAACAAGATGGCAACATGTGAGATCGATAGTTCTTAGATCAGTGCAGTTCTTCACAAGCTCACTGATGCCTTCATCATCTACACCACGACATTTGCTAAGGCTGATGTCTATCAAGTTTTTGCAGTTGAGACCAATAGCTTTGAGACTTGAAGCTGAGACTTGTGATCCATCAAGTTTTAAATTATTGAGAGTCCTCTTTAGAAGACTCAGCTTGGAGAAGAAAACTGGTGAGATATCCTAAAGCAAAAAACATCGGTATATTCAGGTCAGCATAAAGAAGGAAGTTATAGAACAATGAAAACAATTTCCAGAGGCAAGCTTACAGGAAAACAATCGCCAGACTTAAGCTTTTGGATAGACTTGTGCCCTTCAATTACCGAGATTAAACCATAGGAAGTCACATTGTCACAACGCGAAACATCAATAGACTGAATTAAGCACAGATTACATTAATTAATGACCGTGTAAACTCCCTATAATATATTATTTATGGGCATCAATGGGGTAAAATATAAAGGGCAATAACTCACCAGCAAGGAGTTCCTCCCATTGTTAAGATATCTCAAGCCATCATTGTCTATATGAGAGCATCCAACCATAGAGAGAACTTCCAATTTTTCAAGGGAGGAGATCGAATGCAGGGATTTGTTAGTAATCTGTAAAAGAATTCCCAAGACATGTATTCAGTAAAATGCAACAAAAAGTTCTACGCATCAAAAAGTTCAAAAAAATTAAGAATCAGAAAATGAAAAAAAAATGCTTAATAGATAGCATCAACTATGGCTAGTTAAAGCTAAAAATGTGACCCCAAATGCACAATTAAGGTCCGAGATACAGTGACTGCTATTTGGATTAGTGCAGTTAGAGCTATATATGTTATACTACCCACTAGGAGAAAACAAGTTGATAAGGAGGCTTGAGTGCATAGGAGTGATCACAGGTCCAAAGTACACGGACCATAGAATTACCTTTCCTAAAAGAAGCCATGGGGATTCCCCTCTCCAGAAAAGCATATGCTGCATATAATTGTCTTATGACTTTAAAGTATGAGTCTGAAGTACAAGGTCCATATTCATTTTCAAGTTTGATGTAAAGAAGATTAAAGTATGGAAAGTACAAAGTGTAGCACAATTAAAAAAAAATTTTAAAGAAAAAGTGTAGCACATTACTTATATGCTCCAAATTAGCAATGCGGAAAAGTAAACATCCATAATTAGGTGATGGACATTTCGTTATCAAGTCTAGTAAGAGACTCAACCAACATAAGAAGGAACAAATAATTGAAGTCAACGGATTCATGACAAAGAGACAAGAGTTCAAGGCATGAAAGGAAGCTAAATAGAGGGGCTAATTTGATGAAGTTAAATCCTTGTCCCCTTAAAACTCCAAAACACGAAGTTGTTAGTCACATATTGAGGACATCACGGGTCAAACATGAAGAATCATTCTATTAGATATGTGCTCCTCCAACAAACAAGCTTGAGGTCCAAAGTCGAGTAAGTACCAAATGTTTCTAGAAAGATAAGATGCTCTATAACATGAGAGAGACAGCACTCTTAGCTATGATAGTATGACATGTAATTGTTCAAGTTGATCATTCTGTCCTATATCTTTCCTAGCACCACGTCCAGAGTTAAAACCAGAAAATTATTTAATTGTTACAAATTCCAAATAAAAATATATTCCATATATCTAGCATTAAAAATATATTAATATGAAGGACAAGTGCTGCACTTTGTAGTTTGTCACCTTAAATTTTTATTTCATTTGCTCAAAAACCGAGATTGTTTTGATTGCCTTTTCTTTTGTATATTGATATTTGGATTTGGCTTTGATTCTTATACATATGACATGTTTCTCATTTTCGCAACTTTCGTGTCATTTGAATTATTCATTATTTGTAGCCGTAAATGTTCATCAATTACTATAAATCAGAACAAACAATTGTCACCGCTTGCTGAAATGCGACAAATGACAGATGTTTTATTTTTTTTTCCTCTCTTTTTTTGGAAATAGTATTCATTTTTCCTAACATTTAAATCTCTTATTTCAGCTTTCAGACGTCGTGCATCGTTTATCTCCACATCAATTTTGTCAAAATTCAACAATCTTCTCATTAATCCCAGCAATACCCAAATGCTCATTTATGAATATACAAACTAACACTTGCCAATTTTCTCAATAATAATAATAATAATATGTACAATACAATATCAAAAAATGGCAAACACAATGCAAATGTGAATTTTACCTTGAGGTAAGAAACATCAAGCACCTTAATCCCCCTACACTTCTTCACAAGAAGCTCGACCCCGATGTCGGAAATCTCCATGCACCACTTCACCCCCAATCTCTCCAACCTCCCCCCGCACCCGCCGCACCTCGCAAGCCCCCATCGGTCACTCCAAACACTATCCAGCCTGCACCTCCTGCAACCCCTTGCCATTCGGCCACCGCGCGCCGCCTCCCTATCCCCAACCCACGCAATGCGATCAGATCCAAGCGCCTCCAACCTCGGGGGCACGCGGCCGTCACCACCGCCTCCAGCCCCTCCACGCCGACCCCGCTCGCCCTCGAGAATCGAGACGCGGAGGTGCCGTGGGGATTCACGTTTTCGACCGAGGAATTCAGCGGTTCTCCGTCGGTTGAAGGAGGGTAAACGGCGGAGGGTCTTAGGGTTTCAACGGAGGCAGGTAGCGGCGGAGCAGGTGGCCGGCAGATTCTCGCGAGAGGATGACGAGGTCGCAAGGAAGGAAGGACGGTTGAAGGAAAGGATCGGCCGCGGACAGAGTAAGGGCGAATATCTTTGAAGGTTTTCCTCGGTGCGGGACGCTGGAGGTAGTCGAGGATCTGATCAGAGGATTCAGAGATAAGATTGAAGGTGCTACCGGAAGGATTTTGATGTAGGCGTGCATTGATTTCAGTTTTCTTTTCTTTTTTTAATACAAAAGATTAGCAGAAGCACGCGCATCCTCGCTCACGGTATTAATGTGGAGAAGACGGATTTATTGTAAATTGTGTTGTGTGGTTTAACGCCAAATGTGTGATTGAAGGTATAGATGTAAGACGGTTGAGAAGATTGAAAGTGTGGAGGGATGTTTGGTGTAAGATGAGGTTAGAGAGTAGCATTGCTGAGGGCTCAGAATGTGGTCGTAGTGTCTGTGAGTGATACATAGTCTTGTCAATGCTCTACTGCTATGCATTCTTCAGAAGTCAAGTCGGAGCATCCGACACCAAAATGTATGTTATTGCTTAATCTTATTGATGGGTTGAGTAACTCAGATGTATAATATTTATGGTTGATATCTTGGTGTGTGAAATATCCGTTAATATTTAAGTTTTTAAAATTTTTTTTACGGCTATAGTCTGCTTGCTGTTGTTAATCAAGTTTCAGGATTTTGATATACACCAAACTTGGTCAGAAGAGTTTAAGGTGTTCAGAGAATATATGATTGTTTGAATTTTATGTAAGGCTTTTGGAAAAATCTACTCATTGTTATAGGGCTGGAGCACTGATTCAGGATTGGGTTAGATTGAAATTAAGTTAGATTTACATGAAGGTACAGAATTAGGACCGCTTACCTAGTCAAGCTTGGATAGAGAGAAAAAAGATTTTTGTTGAAGAGTGGGGGCAATTTGGGCCTGGGTTTGGAAGAAATTACTGAGGGAGGGACCGAGGTCCGGTGGTGAATAGAGGGAAGCAAGGAGGGTAGTTTGGGGAGAGACGAAAATGGGCGATGGGATTGGAGGAGGGCGTTATGTGGGGATGAAGGTACCGGGCCAAGTACAGAGCCGTTCACGGTTTGTGCGGACCCTGCGTGGTTTTTTTTTTTTTTCCAATCCACTTGTGGGCTTTCTTTTGCTTATGTGACCACCAAATCTATCATATTTACATATTTACTCTTCAGATATTTATGCTGGGAAATATTTATTTATTTTTGTCTTTTTCATTTTTTCATTTCAAAAATTAACGTTGTCTTCGACAAACTCCTAAGACTAGATGGTAACTTATTCCATTTTGATACTAGGAGGGGTGAATCAAAGGACCCTGCGTGGTTTTTTTTTTTTTTCCAATCCACTTGTGGGCTTTCTTTTGCTTATGTGACCACCAAATCTATCATATTTACATATTTACTCTTCAGATATTTATGCTGGGAAATATTTATTTATTTTTGTCTTTTTCATTTTTTCATTTCAAAAATTAACGTTGTCTTCGACAAACTCCTAAGACTAGATGGTAACTTATTCCATTTTGATACTAGGAGGGGTGAATCAAAATCCAAGCAGTTTAAGGGACTTTTTTCACTTTTTTTTGATATTGTCAAACAAATCCTAATAGTGATAATGGGAGGGATATTTTCAGTAATTTTAAAGCGTGTAAGCATGAACTAGCAACTATTTAAGTCCGCACGACAAAATTACCGATAATATTGGTTTAAAATTTGTTAAATAATTTATATTTTCTTTTATTAATTTTGTAAGTAGACAAACCAAATTTTTAATGTTTTAAATCTTACAGTGTTAAATATAATGGATATTTTACCTTAATGTCACGTCACATAGTGCGTCGTAAATTAGTAAATATTCAGTTTTTAAAAAATAAATTTGCAAATAAGATAGATTCGAAGAAAGGAATATGTAAATGACCATTGTTTTTAATCTTCTCAATTTTGCAGATTAGAACTTTAGGAATTTCGCATAGTGCTCATTTCTTTAATGGTTAAAATTGTTTAATAGCGAGTTGGGTTTTTTATTTTGATTGCCTGTCTTTCACTACTTACTACGTGATAAGGTCAACTAAGCAAGTACAGTCTTAAAATGATAAGTACGGCATGCTTGGAAGTTTAGCAATCGTAATTGTGTATAAAGAATGAATTATAAATATATTTTCTTTATTTTTTATTTTTCCGCTTTTTTACTAAGAGAATTGAATTGACGGATATAAATCAGTAGTTAATTCCATCAAGCAAGTATACATAATTATTTTCTTAAAAATAATATCAGCTGTCTTGTCTAAGTCAGCTTTTGCTAGTTGAGATTTTTGCTAGGGGCCGTTCGTTTCGCAAAATAAGTTGGGAAATCAAAGAATAGGAAACCTATTTCCTATATTAATTGTTTTTGGGGTTGTTTGGTTGGTTTAAAAAAGAAGAAAATTATAGAATAGGAGATGAGATGAGATGAGTTGTCACCTTATTATTGGATGATGTGAGTGATTTAAAAAAAAAAATTTTTTTGAGGTTATTTGGTTGGTTAAAAAAATAAGGAAATGAATTAGAGATATATTATTGGATGATATTTTGAGGTTGTTTGTGTTTGGTTCATTTTTAAAAATAAGAAAATAGATGAGATGTGATGAGTTGGAGGTATATTATTAGATGATGTGACGCATACTTAAGGAAATCAATTTCTTGTTTTTTTTTTTTGAGGAAATGGATGGAAAGGAAGGTTTAATGAGATGAGATGAGTTGTCACAATATTATTGGATGATGTGTGATTTTTAAAAATGAGATAAGATGAGATGTGATGAGTTGGATGATGTGACATATTTCTTGTGTTTGGTTTATTTTTAAAGGTAAGAAAGGAGATGAAATGAGATGAGTTGGAAGATAAAAATAATATTTTATTAGATATTGTGGGTGAGTTTTAGGGATGGAAATGGATAAAAATATTATTTTATTGATTTCCTTGTACCGATTTCCTTTTCTTTGATTTTAGGAAACCAACCAAACGGGCCCTAAGGGGCTGTTTGGTTGATGTATTTGGCATTGGCGGTTGGGCAGAAAGCCTGCCAAAAATGCTCTTTTGGCAGGCTTTCTGCTCAACCCCCAATTCCAAATACATCAACCAAACAACCCCTAAATGGTGTTTTTGGCTGTTAGGAAGTAGATGGGAAGTGCACCAAAATTTAGAACGTGGCTTCACTTTTCATTTTTTTACAGTTTAGCATTTGGCAAGTGAATTGAAAGTAAAGAGTGTCACATCAATATTTCAGTTTATTTCACTTTCTCTAAAATTTAGAGAAAGTAGATGAAAAGTGAAAAGAGAGCATATATAGGTAAAATAATGTTTTAGATTTTTTACGTATTATTTAATTTTATTTGTTCACTTTCTATTATTACTTTATGTGGTAACCAAACAGAACAAGGAAAAAGTTAGCGCCACCTTATTTGTCACCTCAGCTTTTTTCCCTTTTATTTTCTAATATCCAAATAAGATTTTTTACAAAATAGAAAATAATAAGAAAGTACATTTATGTGAAAGTATTTTATCTTTTTATCACTTTCTATTTACTTTCTGCTTACCAAACATGCTAAAAAAAAGAGCAATATGCTTTATACATTTGTAATGCTATGTCATCTTTAATTTAGGAGAAGTTTCTTACTGTTTGAAATTTCTTCAATTGCGGTGTGCGCTAATACAAGTTCTATTGACTAGAATATAAGATTACTTTAGTATTAAACCAAAATTTATGCTCTACTTTCTATCTCTTACTTTAAAAAATTCATATATTCACCTCGGCACGTCAAAATTTTACTTTGATGCATTAAAGTTTTACTTTATTACATTTTGTGCTTTTTGCAGAGATCTCGTTTGATTTTCTATTAAAAGCTTATTCATTACTGTTGGAGCATCTGGTTGTTTTAATCCCTAGCACGTGATGTGGGTTAACAAAAAGTCTAATGAAATCCAAACTAGGTGGTATAAAAGTAAAATGATATTGAAACTTTGGGACATCAAAAGAGTTAAAATAAATACTTTGATGCATCGAAGCGAGAATAAGGGGGTGAACTTTGGGATACCACCAAAGTGAAAAAATGAAGGCTGTACAAAATAGTTGTGTTCCGTCTGCAAATCTATCTATTACAAGGGGCTTATAAGTAAAACGGCAGTCACCTAATGGCGACAACGGATGACAGCCGAAGCTTTTGTTTTGCTTTTTTTTCCTTTTCCCCCCTTGTTTTCTGCGGGAATATGATTCTCTAAGTAAGGGGGGCATGCCGTACCGTTCTCGGAGACCACGCCTACAGTGGGCCCCACGCTAACGTGCGCGGGGCAAAGCAGAAAGCCCGTACCTATCTAAGGACGGGGGTACCTCCCCCCCCCCCCCCCACCCGCCACAATAGGTACAGCCGCCCGGCGCCCCCGGATTTGTGCTCAAAACCTCCACCCGCGGCTTCGACCCAAAATCTAGACCCTCGCAAATCTGTGGGGCCCTTCGTAATGAAAATAAAAAATGATTTTCCCAATCAACTCTAAGGGGGTGTTTGGTTACATTTCTATAAATTATAGGAAATGTTTTCCATTCAAAATTTGATTTCCTTGTATTTCTTAAAAAATTATAGGAAAAGTTTTGAGAAGTTAAAAAGTACAAATTTTCTTATTTTTTGTATTGTGCTTGTTTGGTTCAAAACAAGAAAACGACTCATAACTTTTGGGAAAATAGCAACATTTCCTATAATTTATAGAAATGTAACCAAACACCACCAACTTTATAGAAAAGTGAGAACTTTATAGAAAAGTATTAATGAGTTTTATTATTTAAATAATGAATGCGTCAGATTGCCAAGAGATTTCCGCCCATTTTAGAAGGAAATCAATTTCTATAAATTTTGGTACTTTTCTATACTTTACAGAAAACATTTCTGTAAATCATTTTTGAGCCAAACACAGTTTGTAGAAATCTATAGAAAACTCTTAATTACAGAAATGCCATTGTTTGTACTTTTAGGTGGGTGTAGATTTTTTTTTTTTTTTTTTTTTGCTTTGAAGATAAATACAAGAAGCTATTGCATTTTGTGGACCGCTTTAATATAAGTAGCTGGAATCCTTACATGTGCCTATATTTTCTCTTCACGAGGAAACAATGGTCTGAGTACTCACCAGGACATACATCATGTGATACTTGACATTAGCTGGTTGGTACATTGAGATAATGCGACAAAAAATCGTAATTAAAATCTTTAATGTCCCAATAACCACAATAAGCATAACCCTTGAGATGACTCCCCACCCCCCCTCCTGTCTCCAATGTATATTCCATTCCTATGAAAAGCTACTAGATGTTGTTTGGGGGCTTTTTTTTCTTTTCTTTTTTTTACAAATTTTTAAAATAGACCTTTTGACAAATTTATTTTTAAAATTTGACCCCTTTAAAATTTATTTGCCATTTTAAATCGAAAATGGCAAATAAAGTTCGAAATATTTACCATTTTAAATCAAAAATGGCAAATAAAGTTCGAAAGCTTCACGGGATTTTAAAATCCCGTGAAGTTTAGTGGGGTTAATCAGATACTAAACTTCACAGAATTTTAAATCTCATGAAGTTTTTGAACTTTTGTAGCTTTGTTAGTGTGGTTAATCAGGCGGTAAACTTCACAAGATTTTAAAATAGACCTTTTCAAAATTTTATTTTTAAAATTTGACCCCTTTAAAATTTATTTGCCATTTTAAATCGAAAATGGCAAATAAAGTTCGAAAGCTTCACGAGATTTAAAATCCCATAAAGTTTAGTGTGGTTAATCAGGTACTAAACTTTACAGAATTTTAAATCCTGTGAAGTTTTTGAACTTCCGCAGCTTTATTAGTGTGGTTAATCAGGCGGTAAACTTCACGAGATTTTAAATCCCGTGAAGTTTTCGTACTTTATTTGCTATTTTGACCCAATTTCAGCCATGTTGCTAAAACTGTGTTGAAAATGACAAATAAAATTTAAATGGGTCGTTTCTTAAAAATAAATTTTTAAAAAGGTCTATTTTAAAAGTTTATCTTTTTTGTGGGTGGCATGGGGGGTCGGGGGGCCAATAATTTTGCTCATAAAGAAGAATTCTAATATCTTTTCAAGAAAAATGTAACGCCTAAATTCTGTCCTTTGAGCACTAGAAAGGACGCCTCAATATTCACATTGTTGCCCCTGCAAAAGAAGAAATTTTAAATTAAACTCATTCTCAATTTTACTCTCAAAATTCGACACACTTTAAACTTAATTATGAAAATTAATCCACTTTCTCGTCATGTCAACATTATGGCCAGAAAATGGGTCGATGTTTTTTTAAACGAGATCCTAATTAGTCGGGGTTCGCAGCCCCGACTATTTTGGATATCGCCGACAATTTGGCAACCTAATTAATCGGGTTCGAAACCCCGACTAATTTAGCACCTATTTAAATTGGTCAGGGTTGGGAACCCCGATCATTTTGAAATGCCTAATTCGAGCTCGTGTCGCTATTTTGTCGAATGTCCAAAATATTCGGTGAGGTCAAAAATAGTCAGGATTGCCAACCCCGACCAATTAGGTTGCCAAATTGTCAGTGAGGTCTAAAATAGTCGGGGTTGTCAGCCCCGACTAATTAGGATCACGTTTAAAAAAAATCAACCCACTTTCTGGCCACAATGCTGACGTGATGAGAAAATTGGTCGATTTTTGTAATAAAGTTTGAATATGGTCGAAATTTGAGATTAAAATTAGGAATGAGTTTATTTAGAAAATTTCTTCCCTGCGAAAACATAGTGCCATTTATTTATTTTTTCCTTGTTCAACAGTTGCAACATTCAATTATTAATTTTTTATTTTTGATTATAAGTCAAAAAAGTGTTTTATATTTGGTACTAAAAATTGATATTTAAAAACATTGATCTTCTTGGAAACATATTTTTGATGCCTATAGAAAGATAAATGTCTGAAGCAAATCTATCTAAAAAGTGACTTGGATAAGGTTAAACTATTTCAGAGCTTGTATATAATGCCAAAAAATAAACAAAAAATTGTGTCAAGCGCCAATTTTAAGAATCATGTGTGACCAATCCCTTTAATATTATTTTTCCCATGTGTAAAAACCCTTAAAATCTAAAAACATATGATTCAGCCATTATTCTCTGCCAACTAAGCACACAGAGAGAGAAAACAAATAAATCCTAAAATGCCCTTATTTCCTTCTCTTCCCTCTCCGGATCTTAATCTCCATAGCTCCCCTTTCCTCTTCTCCTCTCATCTCCTTCTCTCTCCTAACTCTAATCTTCCTCCTAATTCCTCATTTTTCTCTCAGACACCGACATCCCTCTCCGCCACATCCGACTTTGGGTGCACGCTCTGGCCATGTTGTCTCTTTCTTCGGCCTCGCCCTCTGCTACCACCAACCTTGAGCGCACTCTCCATCCTTACAGTCTCCCTCTCCAACCTCCCTCTCTGTCACTACTGACATCGAGCACATTCTCAACAAGTTTGCTCCAATGTCTGTGACAAGATCTCCTTCTCCAAAATCACCGCCAATAAGAAGGTTATCAGGGATCATATATAATATATGGATCTTTAACTTGAGTATTGTATTTGATACCCAACAGATCTTTGATGTAGTGCTTGCAATATTATATTAGGTGTAAAGAGATTCATATGAAAGCTTTTCAAAAAGTAGAGGATTCAACTTTTCATAACAAGCAACAAGTTCCACAAGACCTATAAATTTTCAAAGAAAATTGTAATTTCTATTCGAATATCGTGAAAAGATGAAAATTTAAACAAATACCGTCTAAATGTGATTTTTGCTTGACAATTTTTAATGTTATGTTCAAGTACAAAGTGGAATGTTAAGTCTAATGAGTTGGAAGTGAAGTCCAATGGATTGTATGTTAAGTCTATTGAATTTAATAATAAATCTAATGGATTGTATGTTAAGTCTATTAGGTTGAATAATATGTTTAAAGGTAGAATGTTAAGTGTAATGGATTATACTTTAAGTCTAATTTGTTGAATATTAAGTGTAATTTTTAACATGTTAAGTCTAATTCGTTATATGTTAAATCTAATTGGCATGATGTTAATTCAAATTGGCTCGATGTTAAGTCTATAGAGTTAGAAGTGAAGTCCAAGGGCTTATATGTTAAATCTATTGTGTTGAATAATAAGTCTAAATGTGGAATGTTAATTGTAATGAATTATATGTTAAGTCTAATTTATTAAATGTTAAGTATAATTTATTACATGTTAAGTCTAATGCATTATATGTTAAGCTTAATTGGCATAATGTTAATTCTAATTGGTTGAATATTAAGTCTATAGAGTTAAATATTAAGTCTAATTGGTTAATTATTAAGCCTAATTGGAAGATATTTTTTATTTAATGAAAAACATGTTATTAGTAATGAAAATAATGTTAAGTCTAAACCGTCTCACGTTAATTCTAATGAGAGGAATGACAAATCTAAATCTGTTGAATGTTAATTCTAATTAGAGGAATGTCAAGTCTAATAAGTTGAATGTTAAGTATAATCAAATGATTGTCAAGTCTAATCTATTGAATGTTAAGTCTTGTTTGCTAACTCAAATTGGTTTTATTAAGTATTGTTTAGTTTTTTTATTTGTTGTTAATTTTGTGTTATAATTATTTTTTAAACATTTGCGGCGTTTCCCCCACTTTGAACTCAGAAAATAAAGATTGTGGTCCGCCGAATGTGCTCAAGTTTAGTAGTCTTGTAAACAATACATCAAACATTTACTGTGTATCAAATACAAAACTCAAGATTCATACATAATCTAGGGTCCCTTATAACCTTCTTCTTGACGGTCACCTCGGAGAAAGAGATATTGTCATAGACATTGGAGGTAATTTTGTTGAGGACGTGCTCGAGGTCAATAGCGATGGAGAGGGAGGCGGGAGAGGGAGACTGTGAGGATGGAGGGGTGAGCTCAAGGTTGGTGGTGTGAAAACGATGAAGGAATTGAGGAAGAAATTAAGAAAAATGTGAAGAATAAGCAAAACAGGCTCCACCACACCAGGGTGTGGTGTCTGCCATGGGTGTGGCAGAATCTGCCCTGTCTGCCATGGGTGTGATGTCTGCCACACACTGGTGTGGTAGAATCTACCCTGTTTGTCATGGGTGTGGTGTGTGTCACACCAGGGTGTGGCGGACTTGTTTTTAGAATCCCATTCAGTTTGGGATTGTGTTTTGTTATAAACAGAGACACGTTTTTTAGGGTTTCTTTGGCTTTGTTTGGGCTTTGATGAAGCAAATTGGGGATATTTGGAGCACAGAAAAGAGGTATTTTCTGAGTTATTTGTTTAGGGTTTTGTTTGGAGAGATTAAGAGCTTATTGGTGAGATTAGTTTGTTCCTTCTAGTGATTTGTAATCTTAGTTTGTACTCTTTCTCTATTAGTAAAAACCTCATCTCCTTCTTGTCCCGTGGATGTAGGCAACTTGCCGAACCACGTAAAACTATTGTGTTTGGATTTGTACCGTTATATTTGGATTGTTTAGCCTTCTCTCGGCGTTCGTTTGGTTTGGTTTCTCAAAGCACATAGTTGGTTTGATTTTTTGGCTTCCGTCGCACGCAACAAGTGGTATCAGAGCTCGGGCTACGCTTGGGCTATTTGGAGGAGTAGATCAATTTGGAGGCTCGTCTAGGGCTTCGTTTGGTGATAAAGGTGGGATCTTTTTTGGTAAAGACTCTATCTTTTTGATTTTAGATCTATTCTTTGTTTGTTCCGCATTGGTTTGTTGGCGCTTGGGCTATTTGGAGGCTCTTCGAGGCTTCGTTTGGAGATAAAGGTTATATTTTTCCTATTTGTGGATCGTGAGATCGTTTGGAGACTCTTGTTAGGGTTTCAATTAGAGGTAAAAATCTCTCCTTTATCAGTTTGGATCTATTCTTCGTTTGTTGGTGCTTTGAGATAGTTGGCCGAGATAGAAGGATTTAAGGCTGGGATATTTGATTGTTGATACGGTGCATTGGATGATTGAAAAGTGCCCTTAACCTACGTATTGAAGTCCTTTGAACACGTTAGTATGAGCAAGGAGACCTAGGTGGAGTTTGGCACTTCTATTCGATGATTGAGGGGTCTTCTATTTGGTGTTCATTCAGGTATTTGGGGGCCTTCTAATGAGGCATCATTGGAAGATAATTGGTATTTTGGTTTTCTTTGTTGGGGATTGTACTAGGCATTTGTGGGTTGCAACCAAGTCCCATTGGTTTTGAAGTCTTAGTAGCCAACAACAGTTGAAGAAGTATATTGGCAGTAAGGTGAATGTACTTCATTCTGGTTTTAAAAGGAGGTACAAGAGGGACCTACTGTATTTGTGCCGAGCTCATGGCAGTTTGATACACTTCATTAGAGAGGAAACGTTGGGGCGACAAGATGAGATAATATTTTTTGATTAGTCATTTCTTTCTAGAGGAGGATCGACGTTTGATGTCGAGCATTGGTTTTGGAGTTCGGGCTTCAACATATTTGGGCCATCTTATGCATAGGTCGCCGACTGCTGTATTAGGAGTTATTAGATCTGGTGGAGTTGCTTCAGATTTTAGTTGGCGTCGGATATTTGGTTACCCAGCATTTGGTCACATCGAGGATGTAAGATTTGATCTGATTGCACGTTTGGGATTCGGAGGCTCGTTTGATTATCGTTTGGGAGCTTCTGATTTCGTTCTGAGCAGGTATGTCACATTGGACTCTCGACAGGTAAGAGAGTGTTGATCAGATCAGTTGGATATCACAGCGGGTGGAGGGTGATGCTACTCCACATTGGGTGGAGTTTACTCCACATACTCCAGGTCATTCTGTATTATTTGGGACTTCAGTTGAGGTGACACAACATGAAGATCATTTGGTTTTGGATGCAGATGACGTGTTGATTGATTTGAGTGCAGCTGATAGGCGCAGTTTGGACATGGCCATTGGTTCACCTCAGGTGGAGGTGTTTGGATCGTTTCAGTTTGAGGTCATTTCACCTCAGGTGGAGGTGTTTGGATCGTTTCAGTTTGAGGTCATTGGAGGTGCTATCAGTCGCAGATTTGATGATATTAGAGAAGAGTTACAGACTTTTCTATTTGATTGAGGGCCTTTGGAGGCCATTTGGGTGAACTACGTGAAGGCTTGATTCCTTGGGTAAGAGGATACGTAGGCAGTCAGTTTTGATACAGCCGATTTGGTGAGTAGACATCGACGTTTGGAGAGTGTTCACATTCTCATTTGGGTCTCGACTTGTTCCGATTTGGTGAGTAGACATCGACGTTTGGAGAGTGTTCACATTCTCATTTGGGTCTCGACTTGTTGTGGTTTGAGTCCGTTGTCGTGAAGGGTTTCCATGATGTCCTGGACGTAACAAGTGGGACATTTGGTTTGGTTGGTGTCGGCTCGGTTTTGGAAAAACTTCACCGAGGTGGAGAATTGTGAAAACGACGAAGGAATTGAGGAAAAAATTAAGAAAAACGTGAAGAATAAGCAAAACAGGCTTCACCACACCAGGGTGTGGTGTCTGCCATGGGTGTGGCAGAATCTGCCATGTTTGCCATGGGTGTGATGTCTGCCACATACTGTTGTGGTAGAATCTGCCCTGTTTGTCATGGGTGTGGTGTGTGTCACACCAGGGTGTGGCGGACTCATTTTTAGAATCTCATTCAGTTTGGGATTGTGTTTTGTTATAAACAGAGACACGTTTTTTAGGGTTTCTTTGGCTTTGTTTGTCATTCAGTTTGGGATTGTGTTTTGTTATAAACAGAGACACGTTTTTTAGGGTTTCTTTGGCTTTGTTTGGGCTTTGATGAAGCAAATTGGGGATATTTGGAGCACAGAAAAGAGGTATTTTCTGAGCTATTTGTTTAAGGTTTTGTTTGGAGAGATTAAGAGCTTATTGGTGAGATTAGTTTGTTCCTTCTAGTGATTTGTAATCTCAATTTATACTCTTTCTCTATTAGTGAAAACCATATCCCCTTCTTGCCCCGTGGACGTAAGCAACTTGCCGAACCACTTAAAACTATTATGTTTGGATTTGTGCCGTTGTTTTGATTTGTTTGGTCTTTATCTCGACGTTTGTTTGATTTGGTTCTCGAAGCACGCCCGTTTGATTATCCCGCTTCCGCGCCGCGCACAACAAGTGGTGGCGGAGGGCGAGGTCGAAGAAGGAGACAACATATATAGACAGAGTGTGCATCTAAGGTCGGTGGTAGCGGAGGGGGATGTCAGTGTCTGAGAGAAAAAGAAGGAAGAGGGAGAGAGGAGGAAGGTTAGGGTTAGGAAAGAGGAGGAGAGGAGAGGATGAAGGAAGA